ATAATAATAATCTTTAACATCACCATCATCATCATCATTACCGTTACTATCATTATCATTATTATAATAATTTCATCATCATCATCATTATCAGTACTATTATTATTTTCATCATTATCATTTATTACCATTATCATTATCATTTATTACCATTAACATTATCATTTATTACCATTATCATTATCATTTATTACCATTATCATTATCATTTATTACCATCATCATTATCATTATCCCTTTCTCCATCCATTACATTTTTCCCACTCTGTTTCGTCAGCTTTAACATGTTAATAACGTGTTCTGGTTGCCTCCCAGTTTTCCATCAGTGAAACGACATCCACGTAGAAATAATGACAGCTTCTATGGAATCAGGCTGTGTATATGTAATTATAGTTAATGGTAATTTATACTTATTTGTGGGTTATATACCTATACATGAGGTCTCAGACTATTTATATAAGAAGCAACAGTAAAGAAATAAGCACTCAGTCAAAAAGAAAGAAAAAAAAATAGTGTTTTCATATTTTCCCTCAAATCTATTTCCTTAGCGAAATAGATAAATAAATAAAGAAAGAAAAAAAAAAAAACAGTACGACAACAATATCCAAATGAACGGTAGTTTTCCTTCTCTCTAAGTTTATCATTTTAAAAAATTTCGAAGGCAACTAACAAGATTTCGATAAAGAACGAACTTATAACTTTTCGACCCACACGTTTCATACCTGTCTTTCTCTTTCGCTTTAAAATAAGCCAAATAAATTAATTCTGAACTATTTGTGTCATTGGATCCTGCGTTACGAGAAATTATATTATTGAATTTTGATTATAATCCGTAAGGCTACATGCGCAGAGCAAGTAGCCTGCATTACTATTTTTGATATTGCAGGTGATATTGTTATTATCATTATTGTTATTATTCTTATTATCATTATTATTATTATTATTATTAATATTATTATTATTATTATTATTATTATTATTATTATTATTATTATTATTATTATCATTATTATTATTATCATTATTATTAATATTATTATCATTATTATTATCATAATCATCATCATCGTCATCATCATTATCGTTATCATTATCATTATCATTATCATTGTCATTATCATCATCATTATCATTAATGTCACTATTATCATTATCATTATCATTAATGTCACTATTTTCAACATCATTATTATTATAGTCATTATTATTATCAACATCATTATCATCAATATTATCATCATTATTACCATAGCCCACACCGCACGAATTTTTTATACTCACGATCCTTCACTGACCCCGCGATCACTCATGCATTCCGGATAGAGAGAAGTATGTTATTTTTTTTGTACTCTCGTGACCTTAACATCTATTCAGCAGTTATGTATCATAGTTTAAGGATATTTCGTCGGCTATAGAATTTGAAAGAAAAAATATTTTGCCTTTATTGATTTTCGTATCGGAACACTAATACCAACTTTAGTATCGAACTTATGTTAATAATTATAAGAATGGCAATAATTATGATGATAATAATAATTATAGTAATGATAACGATTAATCTATTATTATTTTTATTATTATTGCCATCGTTATTATTATCAATTTTGTTATTATCATGATCATTATTATCGATATTGTTATTGTTATTATCATTATCATTATTATTATTATTGTTATCATTATTATTATTATTATTATTATTATTATCATTATCATTATTATTATTAATATTATTATTATTATTATTATTATCATTATCACTACTATTATCATTGTCATTATCACTATTATAATTATCATTACCATCATCATCCTCATCATCACCATCACTCTCCTCCTCCTCCACCTTTTCAGTGCCAGATGCCAATGACAAATATTATTCCGAATTCAGCCAAAGGTTAAAAAGCCTGAAGGTTATCCGATAAAGCGGTATTTTTTATATTATTTTCCACTTAATTAAGCATGGAATTTTGAGTATGGAATCCTGGATATTTCGTCAATTGAAAAAAAAACGTCAATGTATGAAAAGAGTTTTTTTTTCGTCTGTTTAATCGGTTTCATTACTGTTGTTTTTATAATTATCATCATTAGGATTATGATCTTTATTACTGCTATTATCATAATGACTATTGTTATTATTACTTTTATCATTATCATCCTTATTATTTATATTTTCATTATTATCATTATCATTATTATTAATATCATTCTTATTATTATTTTCATTATCATTATCCTCATCATATTTATCATCATCATCGTTATTATCATCATCATCATTATCATTATCATTTTCATCATTATTATCAGTATAATTCAACCATTAATATCCTTATAAGTTGAATCATTACTACTATAGATACTACATCTACTACTGCTACCACTCCCACTACTACTACTACCACTACTACTAATACTATAACTATCACTATAACTACGTCTCCTTCTACAACTGTTGTGTTCATTATCAACGTTCCCAGGCTCATTAGGAATGTAAAGGGGTCACTGCCACCACCCGATTGATACGTTCGGGAACGAGTGTAGATTGTAAGAAGGGAGGCAATGTCAGAAGAATTGTGGAAAGGAGCGACAGAAGTGTGTGTATGTGTGTGTGTGTGAAGTGTAGTTGTGCAAATGAGCCGAAGTGAGGTAGGCGTGGTTATCTTCCCGAGGAGAGGCGTGTACAGATGCTTCATCTATACTCTAGGGTTTTTGATTGTTGGTTTTGAGAATAAAATGATAATGATAAAAATACCTATTTATTTTGTAAAAATCTAAAAGCAGAACATAAAACGAAACATGACAGTAAAACACTAAAACACAAACAAAACGGACATAAAACACGGTAAAACACAGACTAAAACACAAAAGACAAAACGTACATAAAACACAGTAAAACACAAACACTAAAAAGAGGACACCTTCTCTCGCGTATAACACAACTTAAACACTTAGCTCTTATTGCCGAGACCACCTTATCTGTTGCACCACAACCGTCCAGCACCTGACCTGGCCTGGACCACGGACCGCTCTGCTTGAAGGGCCGGGGACTTTCCCATGTCACCTCGGCCCGCGAAACTTTTTGGTCTCAATGTTTGCAAAATGTTTCTTTTAAAAAAATCTATTTTTGGTGTTCTCTTTTTTAAAAGAAAAGGTCCGTATAAAACACAATGTAAAAACAGTTTATTAAAAATGCACAAAAAAAACAATTAAAACAAAAGTAAAACACAAATAAAACAGCAACGACGCCGCGCAGGTGAGTCGCCCCAGGTGTACGCCCCGTTTTCTGTTGCCAGCCTCCTCACCGCGCAGGGCATCCTCACCCCCGGGGGATAAAAGCAGGGGTTCTGGCTGAACTAGGAGGCGTACGAGGCTGCGACTTCCTCCTTGGAGCGAGGGTGGACGCCGTCCTTCATCTCGTAAGGGGGGGGGGGGGGCGAATGGATATGTAGGGGACCGAGGAGGACGTACACAGGCGGTCCACTACACAACCACTACCCCTACTACTACTACTACTATTACTACCACTACCACCATAACTACTAGAACCACTACCACTAACTCTTTCTATTTCTATTATAATAATTATGATGATAATAATGAAGACGACGATGATGATGATAAAAAAAATATAATCATAATGATGATGATGGTAAAAATTATAATGATAATGATGATGACGATGATGGTAAAAGTTATAATGATAATAATGATGATGATAATTATGATGAGTGTAAAAATTATAATGATAATGATGAGGAGGAGGAGGAAGAAGAAGAGAAGGAGGATAATGATGATAAAAATGATAATGATGATGACAATAATAACAATAATGACGATGATAATGGTAATAATAACAAAAATGATGATGATAATAATAAAAATGATAATAACAATAACAATAATGACGATGATAATGGTAATAATAACAAAAAGGATGATGATAATAATAAAAATGATAATAACAATAACAATAATCACAAATAACACTGTTTATCTCATGTGAAGACTAAAACTGGTACAATATTTTGCATTTGGACTAAACGCTCTCATATATCACGCAAGTAGGACCGAAAATTTACGTTTTCTGTAAAGGAATGTGTGTGATCTGGATAAAGACGAATGTTGAGAATAAATTTTGTTTAGAGATAGGTTATCTTTTCTTACTGATAAAAAAAGAAAAAAAAAGTGGGAAACAGACCTAAAATTTTCAATCCTCGTTTCCGGGAAGAATAAAATATCGTGTCAAGAGGCGTTGTTGTTGTTTTTATATTTTGTTTCTAAATCCTTGCTTAAGTCTGCGGAGTTTCGTCTCTATCGCCATCATATTTGTTGTTTTGTCAAGACAGTGCATTTATCTGCGAAATTATTAGCGCCAAAGACACATTCAGGAAGAGAGAGAGAAAAAAAAAACTGCCTTAGTTAGCTCCGAAAGAAGAATTATTTCACGAATGTTATCATGAGGATTAGCATATGTTGATATTCGCATTGTGATTACTATCATCGTTATCATTGTCATTTGATCATTATGAATATCCTTATAACTGTCATCATTACTACTACCTCCACTACTACTACTACAACTATCTACGACCACCACTACTTCTACAGCCACTACCCTTACTACTGCTTCTATTACTACTACTACGACTACTACAACCACTACTAAATACTAACAACTATCACTACTACTATAACAACTACCATTATATCTATCACTACTACTATAACAACTACCATTACATCTATCACTACTACTAGAACTACCACTACAACTATCGCTACCACTACAACCACTTTAATTACCACTACTATAACAACTACCTCTACAACTATCACTACCACTACAACCACTAATAACCACAACTATAACAACTACCACTACAACCACTATAATCACCACTACTATAACAACTACCACTACAACCACTATAATTACCACTACTATAACAACTACCACAACCACTACAGCTATAATCACCACTACTATAACAACTACCACTACAACAACCACTACAACCACAACCATTACCTCTACCACCACTCCTCTCTATTTCTTTAACAGCAAGTCACTCAGTCATATCTCATGCCGGTGTCCCAACTTCCCTGCTGCTATTCCGAAAGTTACTCTCGTGTTCATCTGTTTCCGAGACAACACTTCAATCTCCGTTTTGTCGAACTTCGGAATAGGAAGAGGGAGGAAGGAGAGGGATAGTGGGAGAGGGGGAGGGGAGGGAGGGGGAGGAGGAGGGAGGATAGTAGGAAGGATGGGAGGAAAGAGGAGGGAGAGAGAGAAGGGATTGAGGGAGGAAGAGAGAGAGAGAGAGAGAGAGAGAGAGAGAGAGAGAGAGAGAGAGAGAGAGAGAGAGAGAGAGAGAGAGAGAGAGAGAGAGGGAGAGAAAAGGGAGGGAGGAAGAGAAAGAGAGTGAGTGAAAGAGAGAGAGAGAGAGAGATAGAGAATAGGGATGGAGGAAGAGAGAAAGAGAAAGAGAGAGAGAGAGAGAGAGAGAGAGAGAGAGAGAGAGAGAGAGAGAGAGAGAGGAAGATATATATATAGATAGAGAGAGAGAGAGAGAGAGAGAGAGAGAGAGAGAAAGAGATCGATAGAAAGATAGAGAGAGAGAGAGAGAGAGACGAAGGAAGCAGGGAAGGAAGAGGGATGGCAAGATGGAGAGTAAAAACAAAGAGAGAAAGAGGACGAGGTGGATAGATGGATGAAATGAAGTAGTGAGAAAGGGAGGAGGAAGGAAGAAAATAAGATTGGAAGATAGGGAGTGAGACGAATGGATAGATAAAGGGAATGGTATAAAAGAGAAATTGGGAGAGGAGAGAGACAGAGGGAAGGAGAGAGACAGACGGACAGACAGACAAACAAACAGACAGACAGACAAACAGACAGACACTAACAAGTAAACAGACAGACAGACAAATAAACAGACAGACAAACATAGACAGAAAAACAGACAGACAGACACTAACAAATAAACAGACAGACAAATAAACAGACAGACAAACATAGACAGAAAAACAGACAGACAGACACTAACAAATAAACAGACAGACAGACAAACAAACAGACAGACAGAGAAACAGACAAACACTAACAAATAAACAGACAGACAAACAGACACTAACAAATAAACAGACAGACAAACATAGACAGAAAAACAGACCGACAGACATACAAACAGACAGACACTAACAAATAAACAGACAGACAGACAAACAAACAGACTGACAGAGAAACAGACAGACACTAACAAATAAAAGACAGACAGACAGACAAACAGACAGACAGAGAAACAGACAGACACTAACAAATAAACAGACAGACAGGCACTAACAAATAAACAGACAGACAAACATAGACAGAAAAACAGACAGACAGACAGACACTAACAAATAAACAGACAGACACTAACAAATAAACAGACAGACAAACAGACACTAACAAATAAACAGACAGACAGACAAACAAACAGACTGACAGAGAAACAGACAGACACTAACAAATAAAAGACAGACAGACAGACAGACAAACAGACAGACAGACAAACAGACAGACGCTAACAAATAAACAGACAGACAGACAAACAAACAGACACTAACAAATAAATAGACAGACAGACAGACATTAACATATAAACAGACAGACAGACAAACAAACAGACGTAAAAATGATTCGTTCTTATCATCCAGACGCAGGTTGTCAATGATAAGAGGATAAGGTTGATGAATGAGGAAGCACCAAAGACTCCTCCTGGCTCGTCATAAAACTTATTAGATTTCATGAACATCTCATTTCCCTTCCTTTCTCTCTCTCTCTCTCTCTCTCTCTCTCTCTCTCTCTCTCTCTCTCTCTCTCTCTCTCTCTCTCTCTCTCTCTCTCTCTCTCTCTCTCTCTCTCTCTCTCTCTCTTTTTCCCTCCTTCCCTCCCTTTCTCTCTCTCTCTCTTTCTGCCTCAGTCTCTGTCTCTCTCTCTGTCTCAGTCTCTCTCTCTCTCTCTCTCTCTCTCTCTCTCTCTCTCTCTCTCTCTCTCTCTCTCTCTCTCTCTCTCTCTCTCTCTCTCTCTCTCTCTCTCTCTCTCTCTCTCTCTCTCTCTCTCTCTCCCTCTCTCTCTCTCTCATTCTCTCTTCTCTTCTTTTCTCTCTTTTTCTGTTATCAAATTCTCCTCCAGCGTCTTAACCAGAAATTCTCACCCTCCAATATCACTCGTGAAAGAAATCATTATTTGCTCTGAGAAACAATCATAAATCTCAAGGGATCTTTCATATAAAGTTTTCACAATCCCTTTTCCTCCTGGTTGAAGGGAGCGCGAGTGTAAGGAACGTGTCTAGCATTTATATTTTGGATCATTAAAGAATTCTTTTGTCTTTTTTTTCGTTCTTTCCTTTTTTTATGTCCAGAAAGTTTCTTTGTGTGAGATCCCTTCATAAAGTCCGGTGTAGGAAAGGGTTTCCAATGCCATTTGACTTTAGAGTTTAGATGTTCTCTTTTGTATTTCTGTAGGATTGTTTGGATTTTGTGAGATTTAAAGGTTTCGCATTCTTTTTTTTCTTTTTTTTGGCGCGCATGCGTTGGCCTCCTTCGAAAGTTTATTGAAGGCCAATTCAAGGAAATCTTAAAATCTATAATAACTGGAACAAGGATATTAAAGCTCATTCCTCCAATGTGACATAGTTTCAGTTACAAAAAAAAAAAAAGGAATTTACTCTGGGAAACAGCGACCGGGTCAGAACGCACGATAAAGAGTTAACAATTTGCTCGCTGCGTTTTCGGTTCTCCGCGTCGCCTCTTCCCCTTTCTTCATTTTCTGTCTCTTGCAGCGGATGCTTTTCTAGCCTCCTTCTCTTTGTCTTTCCTTCTTCTTCTGCGTCTACTTCCATTACTAATAAATATTATTATTATTATTAATATTATTATTATTATTATTATTATTATCATCATCATTATTATTATTATTATTACTATTATTATTATTACTATTACTATTACTATTACTATTTCTATCACTATTACTATTACTATTACTATTATTATTATTACTGTTATTATGCTGAGGCACCAAAGGCCGGAGCAATCTGGATTCACTCCTAGTAAGTCCACAATAGACCGCATCCTGGCGCTTCGAGTCATTGTAGAGCGCCGTCGTGAGTTCGGACGTGGGCTGCTCGCAGCCTACATCGACCTCAAGAAGGCGTTTGATACGGTGCATCGCGAATCACTCTGGGTGATCCTGAGGCTAAGAGGAATTCCAACAAGGATTGTTGGATTAATAGCAAACCTGTATACAGGAACTGAATGTGCTGTAAAGTGTGGTGGGGGCCTGTCGAGCTTCTTCCTTGTTAGTTCAATAGTGAGGCAAGGTTGTGTTCTTGCACCAACACTTTTCAACACTTGCATGGATTGGATTCTGGGTAGAGCTACTGTCCAAAGTCACTGTGGAGCAACTCTGGGCAATATCAAGGTTACTGACCTTGACTTTGCTTATGATGTTGCCATTCTATCTGAATATCTGGAAACCCTAGTGGCGGCTCTTGATGCATTTAGCAATGAAGCGAAGCCCCTTGGGCTAGAGGTCTCCTGGACCAAGACCAATATCCAAGATTTTGGAGGCCTACTAGGAGACCTTGTGCAGTCGGTACATGCTTGCGGCGAAAACATCAAAGTTACCAAGAGCTCTATATACCTCGGTAGTGCAGTCCACGACTCTGGGCTGTCAGACCAGGAAGTCAGTAGACGGATTGGCCTGGCAGCAGGGGTCATGAAATCTCTCGACAAGAATATTTGGAGATGCCGGTACCTGTGCAGAAGAACCAAGTTACGTGTTTTCACTGCCAGCTACTGCCAATTTTTCTATATGGTAGTGAAACCTGGACGCTATCTTGTGCCTTGAAATCTCGTCTTGATGCCTTTTGTAACAGATCCTTGCGCCGGATCATGGGGTACAGTTGGCGGGACCATGTGTCCAACCAATGGTTGCACCGTGAGACCGGCAAAGAACCTGTTACTTGCACAATCCGTGATCGCCAACTCAGGCTATATGGCCACTTGGCTCGACTCCCGCAGGGTGACCCTGCCCACTAGGTTGTCTCTGTTCGAGACAACCTCAGGTGGAGGAAGCCTGTGGGACGACCAAGAAGGTCGTGGCTTGGGCAGAGCGATGAAATCTGTCGTGAGGAACTAAAGATGGGCCGGGCCCCTGCCTGGCGGCTCGCCATGAGAGACCCTCGCAGGTGGAAGCGAAGGGTGGATGCGGCTATGCGCCCCTGCCGGCGTTAGCTCCAAATGATTGATTGATTGATTATTATTATTATTATTATCATCATTATTATTACCATTATTATTACCATTGCCATTACCATTTTCAATATCGTTATCATTATTATTACTATTATCATTATTATATTGTCATCATTATTACTACTTTTATCATTATTATTTTGTTATCATTATTATTACTATTATCAGTATTATTTTGTTATAATTATTGTTATCACTGCTGTTATTGTTATCATTACTATTATCATTTTTATCATTATGATTATGATAATAATAATAATAATAATAATAGTAATAATGACAATTATTATTCTATTATTATTATTATCATTATTACTATTATTATTATTCCTATTGTTATTCTTATTTCATTATAATTTCTACTTTTATCATTATTATTTTGTATCATTATTATTATACTTACTATTATTAACTTTACTGTTATTGTAACTATCATTATCTCTTGTGATTATTGTCCTTTTTATTATTACTATCACTGCCATTATCAATATTATTGTTATTATTATTATCTGTATCATTTTATCACTATTACTGTTATTATCATCATTATTATTATTAGCACCATCATTATTATTGTTATCATTATTATCGTCATTTTGCTCCCTCATTAGTATTAATATCATTATTATTATTATTTGTTTTTTATCATTATCATTATTGTTATTATTATTATTATTGTTATTTATTATTACTATTA